AGGCGTTGACTGTCCTCGTATCGAAGGATAGGACTATGAAATTCGTATTTACCACATATCAACGGATCACTTCCAAGATGAAATAATAAGATCGTGTAATAAAAATAAAAGCCACAAACAATATTATATGCATAATTAATGGTGGTAGGTCGTCTTTTGGGCCCGCACGTGATTTGTGGTTTCTGAAAATTTACAAAATCCTCCATAAAATTAAAATATAGTATAGGCTGGTACCATTTACAGGAGCAATGAGAAACTAATCGAAGCGAAGCCATCTAGTGGCCGACACCCGTAAACATTTTTGTTGAGTGCTTGAGTTGCTTACCATATAAATAATATAGTATGTGTATTATCTATGGTCTTGCATTAGTATAAAAAACCAAAATTAATGATTTTACAATAACATCATAAAAACTTTAAAATCACTATCAACTTACTTTTTTTGCGTAAGTGTTCACGCGAACTTAGGAGCCTATTTAGTGTTAAGCAAGGGCCAAACAAGATAAAGATGTCACAGCGAATATCTTTCCACTTACAAGACATCATTACTTTGCGGTCAAATAAGCAGAGCATGTATTGAGTATTGATTCAAAGTGAAAAGACCTTTTGGAACAGAATTGGTTAAATTAATTTGATATGAACATGTGTCACCCCTGTTCTGTGAGTTAGAAATAAACACAATTATCTGGTACGCTTATTCACAGGCCCCTGGTATCAATCACTTACGAGTGCTTTATTTGGACGTACATTTTGATAAGGCTCGTAAAAGACGAGCGCGACTTACAACTTTATTCATGTCCGGCGCAGAATCGAAAGCAGAGAATAAAATCTAATGCTTATTAGCTTTTGTTTAAAGGATTTTAAAATCGTCTGAGTATACCTGATAATCTATTAAATAAATAAAAAAACATGCGGGTGGCACTCGGGGAATGCCGCGGTAAAGCTATTGCATAGCATTTTTTATCAACTTATGCAATTATAATTAGATAATAATAATTTAATATTAAAACAATAACAAAATGCTATATTTATAAAAATTAACAAAAGCAAAACATTAACTTCACACTCATAAACTAGAGAGAGAGAGAGAGAGAGAGAGAGAGAGAGAGAGAGATGGGCAGACTTTTCATGATGCGCATGCAGTGCGACGTCACGCCGCGCGCTTATTTTATGTCCTTCTTCAACCAAGGCTTTAGAAAGATGTTCTGCAGTTTGCAGCGTTTGCAGCGGCTTGGCTGTGTTACTGCCATTGCTGAAGTCCGTGAGCAGCGGTATCAATCACCATCACATGGGCCATATACTCGCAAACCTAGAAGGCATGACTATAATATATTTCTGCTGCAAAGAGGTTATGTAGCTTGATATGAACAATGGAATAGCCGTTATACAATGCCATAAAGACGTTTTTAATGATGTGGGGTTCACGTTATGGTAGCTATGGACTGCGGTAACCATTAAAAATCATGTGTGGCTTGAGCTCGCATACCCATATACAGCATTCCGATAGAGGCACCCGTCACGCGCGGACGTGCTCATCGACCACTCGATCGCCCGGCCTTTGTTCGCCCGGCTTTTGTTAGCCCGGCCATTGTTCGCGCGGCCTGTGTTTGTGGTACATCTGCCGACTAAGTGCTCTTCCTGGAAGTTTTTATTTGTTTTGTTTCCTTTTGTTATTTCTGTGTTCGTGGTACATCTGCCGACAAACTGTCTTCCTGGAAGTGTTTAATTGTNAAAGAAAACACAAGCAAGATAACACCTCTTTCAAGATGAAGGTCGCTGTCTTGTCAATAAAAATACATCGAAAATACGTCACAAGGAGATAGACGCGGCCCTCCGAGAAATAACGGAATCATAGAAGATACCCAGGGGAGCGGTGCGAACAATCTGTCTGTACGCTGCTCTATATCATAAAAATACATATACAAACACACGTATGTACATATGCCGCTTTTGATACGGAGGGCTAAGAAATTTTGAAGAGAAAATGCAGAACTGTTTCGTCTTCACATAACAGATTTTTATTATAGCGATATCAAAACTAAGTAACTGCTAGTCATGTACACATACATATAGACTCTCTCAAGAGCTAAAATTTTCATACGTAAGCCCTTTTTTTTTTAATTAAACAAAAGCTGAGAGCCTTGATTGTCTATTTCAGCGTAACCTTGACTAGTAGGTGAGCTCGCGGGGCTCAAACCTGACGACGTGTTGCTAACACGAACTTTAGCAAGAGCCGTGCTTCGCAGAATCTAACACCGGATCGGAAACGCGACCCACTGAGAAGTTCCCGCGAGAAACTTAGTGGACTGTATCTGTGGGTTAATTTACTCGTCGAGCCCTTCGTTGCAAGCGACGGGTTCGACGAGAACGATGACCGGATAGGCTCCAAAACACAGCACAACTATGGTTTATGTTATATATTCATCATTACTGGTGGTAGGACGTCTTGTGAGTCCGCACGAGTAGGTATCACCACCCCTGCCTATTTCCGCCATAAAGCAGTAATTCGTTTCGGTTTGAAGGGTGGAGCAGCCGTTGTAAATACTTAACAACAGGTGAGCTATGAGCTCGTCTACCCATCTACGCAATAAAAATAAAAACTTTGATAAATGCCTTTATCCAAATATACTGCAATATATGTACAATGATATGTACAAAAATACTTAGTTCACAAAGCTTGGGGCCATTTTAAAATGAACCCTCGTCGCTGGATCATGAATATTCAATTGAAGCTCTTTATAGATGCTCTCCGTTACAGACTTCATATAAAATTTACAAACAAGCCATTGTCGCATACAATGCATACGGCTCGACTAGTTAGACAATCGGAACGCTAAAAGCATTCTGGTCTGCCTTCTGATTCAATATGTTATTCTGGATCCATAGACTGGTTTGGGATTTCAACTATTAAAATTAGTATAATATGTTCCATAGATTAACTTAGCTGTTATAACTAACTACGAGCTTCACCAGAATATGGGCAGCCGCTTTTTCTGAATATTGTTACGCGCTGGGGTTCGGGATAAATAAAAATTCTACCGAATTACAAGTTAAAACTATATTCAACACCTAAAACACTTAACAAACACTTTAAAATTCTAATTTCGCTTCTTCCGCTTCGCTTCAGGTGATTCGTTCCCTGTTTCACTTCGAGTAGTTCCGATTACTAGCTAACTGCGTACCATCTCTGCAACGCTTTTATAGTCGAGACGAAATCCCTAGAATCGTCGAGAATATTCCGCAAAAGCCCAGTACTGTATTTCCGCTATCTGACAATAGATGGCGTTGTACTTCTCGAGCGTTCTAGATGCTACTAGATCCTTCAATATTCGTTCGACTATTCAGCGATAGATGGCGTTACTCTTACCGGCGTAACAATATTACACCAGCGTACTTCGATCGACAATCTGCATTAAGAAGCTGTTCTCTGGTTGTAATGCTCTCTGGCTTGAAGGGTGATACAGTTGGTATACTATACAGCTAACGCTTCGACTTCGTGTGCTAAGGAAGTCGTCGTGGCCTAACGGATAAGACGTCCTGTGCATTCGTGTTGAGCGATGCACCGGTGTTCGAATCCCAGGCGGGTACCAATTTATTTTTCTCTTAACAAATGTTCACGATTGACTTCCACGGTGAAGGCATAACATCGTGTAATAAAAATCAAACCCGCAAAATTATAATTTGCGTAATTACTGGTGGTAGGAGCTCTTGTGACTCCGCGCGGGTGGGTACCACCACCCTGCCTATTTCTGCCGTGAATCAGTAATGCGTTTCGGTTTGAAGGGTAGGGCAGCCGTTGTAACTATACTTGAGACCTGCATGGTGCATTTATGTTGTGGACGTCTATGGGCTCCAGTAACCACTTGACACCAGGTGGGCTGTGAGCTCATCCACCCATCTAAGCAATATAAAAAAAAGGTAGGTAGTGGCTAACGTGTTCTGATCTTAATGAGCTTGTAAGCGCTTTACATTAGGTAAGCTATTAGTTCGTTCACTCATTCACGCAAAAAAGCAACGGAATACCATAGATTTCCTGTTTTTTAATTCTTCTTTTATTTCAAATTCATAATAGTAAATTTGCGTATGTAACAAAAATATTTGTCAAAACTTTTTTATCTCATAGAGCTTTTATTAATTATTCGTTTGTAGTTTGTAGCTGTAGTCATATCAGTCAGTCAGTCAGTCAGATCTTTAAATTAAACAAACATAGCTATGTTTGTATTAATTTTGATACTAAAGCAAATCATTCTTAAATAATGTACACGCATGATCGTTATTGTAAATCTAAATGACTTAAACATTTAGAGGTAAGCCACTAATAATTCTTGACAACCATAATAAATCGAATTATTATAAAATTACACTAGTAAATCGAAACGAAATCTGATAATTTCCTCGAGGTTTAAGTAAGAGCTACACTGAACTTGTGTTAAACTCGGGTTTCAATAAGAACTTAACTTTAAATAGCTTAATTATAATTACAACTAGAATAGATAACTGTTTGATAAACCAACATGAACTACAATTAAACTCCGTATAAGCGATCTAACAACCTTAAATAACAATTAATAAAAATCTTAAATAAAAACCATTACATTGAACACAAATGGTGGAGAAAATAAACATTTTAATGGCAAAATCAGATAGTAAAGATGCCCTATGTGGCAACGTCTTAGTTTTTCATCTTCTTCCTACAAGTCATATTATTATCGACTTGATAGAACTCTGGCTTAACGACATACAAAAATTCCCGAACTACTATTTATGATATGCATTTGTCTAAGTTTTTCTATTAATCAATCGGCATGTTGACATGACCGCAGTTCACGAGTCAAGTGTATCCAATGTAGCCCAAGCTTTACAATCAGAATGATTGATGTACAATGAAACAATAATAAAAGTCGTTTCTACGCTTCCCTGTAACTCATAATGAAGCCACATGTACAAGCTAAACGTGGACACACTACACAAAGCTTTGCAAGCATTATCGTAGATCAATAATGGATTTAGCTGGATTACTGAAAGAAGCACAGTTTCACGGCGCTAAAAGGCTTTTTGAGAATAGATTCAGGTAAAGCTTAAGCATTTCTCAATGAACAACCCGACGATACCATTTGCGGTATAAAATAATTTCTGGAAATACGTTAATATGTTAAAACTTTTTCAATTATGTTTTTCTTTGTAAGAAGTTTCGTAATTATTTTATGGCATATAAACTGTAATTGTTTTTGTTAATTTTATTTTGTATCTCTATTACCGACAATTTCATATTGTGCTATCGTCTAATCTATCTATTTAAATAAAAATTAATTGCTGTTCGTTAGTCTCGCTAAATCTCGAGAACGAGAGAAGAGAATTAGCTAATTTTGATCTTGAAATATTTGTGAAAGTCCAGAGAATATTTAAAAGATAGATAACTATGAAAATGCTCGGAATAAAATAAAAATAATAATTTTGTTCTTCCTTTGATGGGTCCCCCCGTCGGACGGATTCCTTTTGTTTGTTTCAAGTTTATTTTATACAAAAGCTTAGGACTTTTATTTATCGATTTAGGCACTACGAAGTCTGCTGGGTCAGCTAGTTTTCTATAAAAAATATTTCATGGCACTTAATTTTCTTTTCAATGAAAAAACAGTATCGTGAGGTCAACCATTTTGTTTGACTTGAATTTTCACTTTCAGGATAAAATAATTCCGTAGGCCAGATTAGATTTGTACATCGATAATGAGTGCCAGATTAAACTGTAAAAGTAATAATAATTATGTATGTCTAGCGAAGGTCGAAGTAATTACTAAGTTGCCCTCCTCTGTTTCCAACTGGAACGTCTAGCTGCTTCGCTTCGCAAATACGCAGCTCACAGCACGTCACCCCACAGACACAGTCCACTGAGTTTCTCGCCGGATCTTCTCAGTGGGTCGCGTTTCCGATCCGGTGAATTCTACGAAGCACAGCCCTTGCTAGAGTTCGTGTTAGCAACATCGTCATGCTTGAGCCCCGTGAGCTCACCTACTCGTCCGGTGACGCTGATATGGTCCCCTAGGCCATCAGCTTAGGTAGGGAAAAAAAAGCGCATCAGTCAAATACAATTATACAATTTCTGTCACCTCGTTTTATTTTAGATTACTATGGACAGTAGCATTGGGAGTGCTTTTCAGTTGTTCTGTGACAGTAGTTTGGATTACCATAAAGCGTTTCTTGGAGAACCCAACATTCATAGTTCAGATGCAAAGTTCTCAGGATGTGATGCCGTTCCCATCGGTTTGGATTTGTCCCGAAATCAGTTTTCCGGAACATAAAATGGACGAGTTCGCTAATAAACTGTAAGTGCTGTTACTGATGAACTTTATTTCAAATAAGGGGAGCTTGTATATTTAAATTTAACTTCCTTCTTCTGGATATAATAAAAATTTGTATAAAATATGCAGCTTGGAAAATAATAAAATGTATTTATATCGATTGGGGAAAGATCATGGGTGCCAGTTGCGTTATGTTAATAAAATACCAAAGAATATGATGAATATCTAAATAGTAATATTTATCTATTATTACTATAGACGGATACAAACTTGAATGCCTCAATGATCTTCGGTTTTATTTCTTAATAATTGTAATTTACAACGGCTGATTGTCTTCAAACTCAACCGAATAGTCAACCGCCTTCAACCTGAAATGCATGACTGAAGAAACATTTTGAATTATCTAGCCTATTTTCATTCCATTATCCTTCTCATAAAATTTCAAATTAAACTCAGCTTTATTTTCAAAAAACCTAGGCGTCCAATGTGGCCTTATACGCTTGGAATAAAAGTTTTGCCTACTAAGGATCTTATTTCTCTTCTCTCAAGACTTTCTCGCCGGATCTTCTCAGTGGGTCGCGATTCCGATCACCGGATCGACCACTGGATAGATTCTGCGAAGCACTGCTCTTGCTAGGGCTAGTGTCAGCAAATTCTCTCGGATTAAGCCCGTGAGCTCACCTACCGTCCAGGCGTACCTGGAATAACCTCTTCGACTACCAACAAATAGGTAGGAATTTTTGGAACGAAGTTCTTTAAGTGACGGTGCGGAGGGATACCCTAACCGGGAAAAAAAATCCGTAACGTAAGATTTTTATTAGTAATGCACACGGTGTACGACTTAACTTTGTAATAATTTACAAATTAGTAATACACACAGTGTACGACTTAACTTTGTAATAACGTACAAAAAATAACACATTTTTTTATCATTCATTGACCACAATCTCAGAGCGTTCGTTTGCGCAACGCATATGTAACTCTTATGCAAACAACCGTGAATGAAGTGGACCACAATTAATTCGCACGTTACCGAATGACCGTGGGTTGTTGCGGAACCTCGAGTTTATTTTCTTTATACCTCGAATAGAACTTAAAATTAATATTTTTATAATAAGGAACTTCGTTCCCCACAACACCACATATCTTTTTTATTTGTTTCAGTAATTACCCAGAAGGTATAAACGCAAGTTATTTCAAAAGTAAATTAAGACAGCTGGCCGCTTTCTACTCGCCCGACGTAGTCTACAATGTGAGAGATCTACAAAGAATAGAATATGTTTTGTACTATAACAACCTGGTGGATATGGAGGCTACTGGGAGGAGACTCATGACGTCGTGCGAGGAAACTCTGATAAGGTCATCAACTGTGGTTACTTCGGTCGCATTGTATGGTTTTGGGTATCAAATACCAAAATTGTTAATAGAAACGTAAAGTATAGATGAAATAATTCAACATCAATATCTTCGAATTCCAGTTTCGCCACTTTTTTTCTGTTCTATCAGCCTGCTGTTGGACATAGGCCTTCCAAGCCTCGCCATCAAGATGGGTCCTGTGCTGCTTACATCCAAAGGATTTCCGCAAACCTCAATAATTAATATAGGAACTTTTTTTTATTGCCCTTGTAGGCAGACGAGTATACGGCCCACCTGATGGTGAGTGGTTACCGTCGCCCATGGACTTCAGCAATGCCAGGGGCAGAGCCAAGCCGCTGCCTACCGTTTAATACTCTCCACAAGCCTCGTCTGAAGAAGGATATGTCATAGCGCTCAGGAAACACCTGAAACTCGAAACCTGCTCCCATCTCTGGGCCGGGGCTCCCAAATACCAGCTTCTTCCATTTGACTCCATACAGAAGAGGGCCGTTCGGATTGTCGATAATCCCATCCTCACGGATCGTTTGGAGCCTCTGTGTCTGCGGAGGGACTTCGGTTCCCTCTGTATTTTGTACCGTATGTTCCATGGGGAGTGTTCTGAGGAATTGTTCGAGATGATACCGGCATCTCGTTTTTACCATCGCACCGCCCGCCACCGGAGTAGAGCTCATCCATACTATCTGGAGCCACTGCGGTCATCTACAGTGCGTTTCCAGAGGTCTTTTTTTTCACGTACCATCCGGCTATGGAATGAGCTCCCTTCCACGGTGTTTCCCGAGCGCTATGACATATAGGAACTATAGTATCTGTAGTAAATTTCTTCTTCCTAGTCGGATACTCTTGGCAGGGTACTCGTGGCTGTCGATGGACAGGGTTGCGTGTCGTCGTCACCGCTTGCATCCAAGGCACTTCGCACTTCGAGCGATGTTCCTCCATTGGAGGCGACTGCTAGCATTGCGTAGTAAATTCACCTAGAAATTTTCACCATGTCTACAGTTCAGTTTCCACGAACCGTAGACATAATAAAACCTACTTTAATTGTTTAATCTAGCGTTTGATATTTTTATTTTATTATTTCCGACGTTTCGACTACTCTGCAGTTTTATGTTCACGAACCATAAGGGTGTTCTTATTCATCGATAAAAAAATTTATTGCTTAGATGGGTGGACGAGCTCACAAAGAAGTTTCTTAAATCTCATAATATTATGTTAAAATCTCAAAATACATAAATATGTAGAATAATATACATATATACAGCTGATGCCTAAACGTGACTATTCTAGGAATCCGATATGAAGTCGTTGACTATTTATATTCGAAAACAGGTGTAAGGTGCATTATGTACGTGTGAAGGTATATCGTCAGCCGCCAGTAATCACATTCTTGCTACCTTTGTCAAGTCCTCCTTTTATCGGAAGCCCACTGAGTTTCTCGCCGGATCTTCTCAGTGGGTCGCGTTTCCGATCCGGTGGTAGATTCTGCGAAGCACGACTCTTGCTAGGGTTCGTGTTAGCAACATCGTCAGGTTTGAGCCCCGTGAGCTCACCTACTAAAGTTAGGGCTACGCTGATATAGCCGCTAGGGCTATCAGCTTAGGTAGGATAAAAAAAAAAAAAAAAAAACCTTTTATCACTGAATCTATTCCATTCGAATTTCGAAGAATTTTCTGAAACTTTGACACGTAGATTTTCTATTTCAGATGCCGTTGGAATAATGCTGTCGTAAACTGTTCGTCATTGTTTATAATGGAGCTCACTGGGGATGGATTCTGTTGTGTCTTCAATGGTAGGTCATTGAAAAGGTGAGCAATTCATTACTATGCTTAAGTAATTGGCTCTATATGTTCCACTGTATTAGCGAAACTACTTCAAAATGCTAGTAAAAATCAGCGCCATGTTTTTTTTTTCTAATTTTGAACTAAGGAGTTGCAATTATTTTCTACCGGAAACATATCGATGTTCTACGAGAATAAGAGTTTAGGATTGCACCTCTTTTTTCACATCCAGTTAATCTACATAGTTTTGTCTTCAAGTTTTTTTTTTCTTTTGGGCTTTAATTCAACATAAATAGAGGAACAAGCTTTAGGCCAACCTGGTCTTTAATGGTTACCAAATCGTTTTTATTTTTTATTGCTTAGATGGATGGACGAGCTCACAGCCCATCTGGTGCTAAGTGGTTACTGGAGCCCATAGACATCTACAACGTTAATGCGCCACCCACCTTGAGATATAAGATCTCAGTCAAGTTATAAGGTCTCAAGTATAGTTACAACGTCTGCTCCACCCTTCAAACCGAAACGCATTACTGCTTCACGGCAGAAATAGGCAGGGTGGTGGTACGTACCTACTCGTGCGGACTCACAAGAGGTCCAACCTTTACTGGTGGTACCAGTAAAGGTTGCCGCCACCCGCCTAGAAAGTATGGTAAGTTTTCAATTTGTAATTAATTCGGTTTACTACTCAAAAGACTAAGTATCGACAACATTATTTTTAGTTCATTGATTATAAAAGAAATAACTACATTTTAGAGAGATGCAAGAATACGAAATCCACGCTACAGTAGAGAAGAAAGTTTTTTTAACTGAACGTTTTGGATTATTCAGCGGCCTGATGCTAGTTGTGAACCAGACGCAGAAACTAGACAGCGTGGACTTGTCTTATAAATGGGTAAATCAAAAAATGATTGTTCGTAAAATAGTTAATTGACATTTTGACATTAGAATAGATTCAACAAATGTTTCTCAATTATTTAGACTACATATTAATTTGTAATAATTAAACTCTTACAAGCTATAGAGAGTACTTGCATTGTATGTTTTTTTTTTTATTGCTTAGATGGGTGGACGAGCTCACAGCCCACCTAGTGTTAAGTGGTTACTGGAGCCCATAGACATCCATAACGTAAATGCGCCACCCAACTTGAGATATAAGTTCTAAGGTCTCAGGTATAGTTACAACGGCTGCCCCGCGCTTCAAACCGAAACGCATTACAGCTTCACGGCAGAAATAGGCAGGACGGTGATACCCACCCGCACGGAAATTGTATGCACGGTGTAATTTGAGTATGTTCAGTGTTTTTAATTCTGAATATGCAAAACACAAAAATAATTTAGTCGACACACAGAGGAGACCATGAGACAAAGGGGAAAAATATACAAAAACTTTAGATTAATTATTGCACAATTTTAGTTGGCTTTACAAAGCAGTCAGCACTTCGTCGAATCCACAGTCAACGGTACCCCGTTGAACCCAGGCACAGAAAAATGGGTCAGCTACCACTTCAAGGGCTACCAGATCGCCGACGACGCTAAGAGCCTCAGCATTATTCTGCGCCAATGTCGTCTCGCAGAGGAGCCCCTGAAATACTTCCCAATATATACGAAGTAAGTGCTGCTCTCCCACACTTTATATTAGTGTTACGCGCTGGGGTTCGGGATTAATAGAATTCCACCGAAGTATAAATTCAAACTGTATTTATCACTTAGAACACACACACATAGATCCCTTTAAAATCCTCAATTCGCTTCTTCCGCTTCGCTTCAGGTGATGCGTTTGCTGTTTCGCTTCGAGTAGCTCCGATTACTAACTGACTGCGTGCCATCTCTGCAACGCTTTTACAGTCGATACGTCATCCCTAGAATCGTCGAGAACATTCCTCACAAGTCACACATACACATCAACAGTACTTTTCGATGTGTGTTTCCGCTATCTGACAATAGATGGCGTTGTACTTCTCGAGCGTTCTAGATGCTACTAGATCCTTCTATATCCGTTCGACTATTCGGCGATAGATGGTGTTACTCTTACCGGCGTAACATTAGCTTCAGACATAAAAATGTATGTATGTAATTTATTATGAAATTATTTCTACGCAGGGAATACTGTATAATAGAATGTGAGATGGAGCGCACTCTAAGGATGTGTGGTTGTGTACGAATCGTGCATCCAAAACGACCTGGTGTTTCGTATTGCAAATCTCAAAATCTTTTCTGTGCTCAGCATGCGATGGGTATGTCTTCACACAACTGACTACATTAATATATTAACTAGTTTTAATATTTTTTTTATTTTCAGACAGACAATATCATTGGCTATTGCTCTAAATTTAAACTAGTGATGTTAAATATTATAGAGGTTTTAACTTCTATTAAATAAGGACCATTTTAGTCATCAAACTTACATACTTGACTATATCACAACATAAGTGTTGAAGCTCATGCTTGTCCTCATGGATAAAGTTATTTTTTATTTTAGAATGTTAGGTGGATACACTGGCTAACCGACCACCGGGTTTTAAATGAACAGTGAAACCCTTATATATAATCATGTGAATACTTCTACTCACTGTGATATTTGACGTCAAAATCTTCTTCCAAACATTTAAACTATGCGAACACATGTTCGCCTCACGACAAAAGTACACAGAATGGTGGTACTCACACGTGCTGTTTCATAACACACTCCACCCCTTCCCCCAGAATACTAGTACTCAACTAGACTTCAATAATGAGTACCAGACCCGCACTAAATAAAAGCCTACATGAAAAACATAGTATATGATAGTGGTATTTACAAATGGATTTATTTTTAGTGGCATTTGACAGTAATGACTGCGACTGTCCACAAGCTTGCGACGTGCCCTCGGAGCAGGTCATTACCAACACCTTCTATATGAATTCAGAAGTGCAGCCTTTGGATACATTTTAGTAAGAAATTCATGTGTTCATTGCTTGTGATAGAGCAGCTTTGATTATTTAATTATTTTCCTGCAGAACCATCTGACTAGTATTTTGTTTAACTGGGGAACTATTGTAAGCTGTTCTAAGTAGGAAGTATTGAATAAACATCAGATGTTTCAAAAACGACTTTGACTATAATGAAAACAACAATTAGTACATATAGATAACAAAACTACGTAAAATCTCCTTATCACAGTGTCTCAAGACGAAAGTCTTTGACCAGTGTGTGTTGCCAGTGATGAAATATGGCACCGAACCGTAACCGACATAGCCCAAAGGATTGTGACGTTGAAGTGGCAGTAGGCAGGACACATTGCCAGTAGAACGAATGGCCGTTTGGGGCCAGAAAATTCTTGAGTGGCGACCGCGCACTGAAAGACGTATCGTGGGTAGGCCTCCCACAAGATGGTCCGACGATGTATCGAAATTCGCGGGGATCCGCTGGATGTAGGCAGCGCAGGATCGGTTTTTGTAGCGAGGCTTGGGGGAGGCCTATGTCCAGCAGTGGACGTCTGCGGGCTGATAAGAAGATCATAAATACACTTATAATATATTACATGGACTGTCACGCTATTTGTTGCAATTGTAGAAATTACCACGAAAGCAAATCATAAGTATCCTCGGATTTTAGAGATCGATATATTGAAATAAAATTGTACTTGTGTTTTTAAAATTTCTAGCAAAGGTTTAGACTTCAACAAAGTGACCGTCGTAAAGATTTTTGTGCAAAATCGTGAAACAACCGTCAACACTCGCTGGTCTTACTTCAGTTCCATTGATTTGTTCTGTAAGTTTGCACAGATTCACGTTCATAACCAATTTAACTATCTACAATCAAATTAATATTCTACTATAATTACCTTTTAATTAAAATCAAATCAAATCTAAAAAAAAATATTCAACATAATGAAAGTACATACTTGTAGAACTTCAAAAGAAACTAACACCAAACACCAACCAGACAAAAACTAGTTTCCGTCCTGAGAAGAGCTGGCAAGAAACTCAGCGGACATGTTTTTTTTTTTAAATATTAGAATATTTTTTTTAAATATTAGATTATTTTTAATAAGCCTACACTAACAGAAAAGCATGCTTCCTGAACATAAATACCTATCGACTAAGCTATGTTTTAGGGTTTGGCTAAAAGACCGCCAATTCTGACCGTTAGCAAACACAAATCTAGTTCAATATATGCATATAGGACTTACAGGTAACATAGTGAAAAGTGTCCGAATTGCAACCATTCGCATAAGAGTAAACAATTGGCCACAAACGCATTTCTAACTTTGCAGGCTGTTATAAATCCCGAATATAGTGAAAAATCCCCAGATCAATAAAGCCATATTATTGCTTAAAAGATTCACAAAGTTGCAGTGGCAGTAGTGAGAGCATACGAGTGAAGACAACGGATCAATATCCGTTGGAACATAATAATATGTTTATGAAACTAAAATCGCGCTACCTTTTACCAATGCACAGTGTGTAAATCTCGCCAATAAGGAGGATAGATAAATTGACGAAGTTAGGAACCTTTTTTTATTGCATAAGCGGGTGAACGAACTCACCGGCTCACTTTGAGTAAAGTGGTTCTCGGAGCCCATACACAACTACCTAACGCTACTACCATAACTACCATATTCTATAATATGATACTCTCTGATAACTCTATAAAACTACCATATTCAGCAGCACCATTAAATAGTCTTAGTCCTCCGCCCTCTGTTCCATGAGGCTCCGATGCTCTGAAGAATGAATAAAGATGTTTTTTATTTTTTATTGCTTAGGTGGGTGGAGGAGCTCACGGCCCACCTGATGTTAAGTGGTTACCGGTGCCCATAGACATCCACAACGTGAATGTCGCCACCTACCTTGAGATATAAGTTCTAAGGTCTCCGTTTATACAGTACAACGGCTGCCCCACCCTTCAAACCGAAACGCATGATCACGTTATCTTGCTTTCACTATCCCACGACCCATCATCTGGTCAGAATCATAACCACCCGAAATTACTGCATTCACCGAGATGCATTTTATCATAAGCTAGCTGACCCGGCAGACTTCGTAGTGCCTCAATCGATAAATAAAAGACCTAAACTTTTGTGTAACATAATCTTAAAACAAACAAAAGGAATCCGTCCGACGGGGGACACATCAAAGGAAAAACAAAACTGTTATTATTATTTAATTCCAAGCATTTTCATTCATATTTATCTATCTTTTAAACCTTCTCTGGAGTTCCACAAATAATTCAAGACCAAAATTAGCCAAATCGGTCCAGCTGTACTCGAGTTTTAGCGAGACTAACGAACAGCAATTCATTTTTATATATAAGTATATAGAAATAAGTATATAGATATAAGATATATATATATATATATATAGATTTGCTGTGTCATTTATTTTACACGTACATATATTTTATTTCAGCTCAGCTCGGTGGTGTCTTCAATGTATTCTTCGGCGTAAGCATTCTCACAGTATTAGAGCTGATCCAATTAGCGTACCATGCTTTTAAATCTATTAGAGCTAAATACAAAATAACTGTACAGAACATTGCAGCTGAGCAGGAAAATATTCCAAACGATATACGTAGTCCAAAAACTAAAAAAACACGCTTAAATAGTAAAGCCAACTAAAAATTAGGTTCACCTTTTTGGAACGAAGCTCCTTATGGGACAATGCGGAGGGGTACCCTAACCGGGAAAAAACGTCCGTAACCTAAGATTTTTATTAGTAATGCGCACAGTGTACGACTTAACGTTGTAATAACTTACAAAAAATAACATATTTTTTATCAATAATTGACCACAAACAATCTCAGAGCGTTCGTTTGCGCAATACACTAACTCTTATGCAAACAACCGTGAATGAAGTGTACCACAATAAGTTCGCACGTTACCGAATGACCGTGGGTTGTTGCGAAGCCTCCAGTTTTATTTTCTTTATACCTCGAATAGAAATTAAAATTAATATTTTTATAATAAGGAACTTCGTTCCTATCCGGTGGCCCACGACACCACACACATTTTTTATCCTTTTGATAATGGTCAATATATTAGAGCGAAGTTATAGAATTATTGTATCACAATCATCATTTGCGTGTGCAAGCTTTCAAGTTCAATCGGACATCTTGAAGTCATGAAACATGACCCTCAAAGATTCTGTTATATACAAACATACACACTTACTAAGCTAATATTAAAAATAAACAAATGTATGTAAGGAAAACGAACTCTTAAAACGACCAGTATAACATAGCACGTTTTGGCTGTCAAAGTGTCAACGATCACTTAAGCAACCTATAAAAAAAACTTATATGTTTGAAATAAAAAGATATGTACTCATTTAAAAAGCTGTTTAATTAGTGTCCCAATCCCGGTCGAGGGCACACCGGCTTACCTCATAAATTACATGTACTATCTCACCCATTTAATAAGGTTAAAATAATCTAAATCACAATACTTACTTACACTTTTAAATTTAAGCAGCTCCAGACTCTGTTCAATCCAATTTACATCGGTATATGTAATGTATCGGCGAAGAGCAGCCGTATGCATGTATGCATAATTTATTTAAAGGCTTTATGTATAATACATTTAATAAAATGAATCCGTTATTGGTTTTCGTCCGCAAAACCGCCCTTGCACTTTAGAGAATGTATTTTCTTCTAGTAAGTCCATACATTCATATACAATACTAATGAACTATGCATGTTTTGTGTGTAATGATTGTAACTTCGGAAAAAATAATTGTAAATTATAAAAATGTAGATTAGTTCCTTATGAAATCAGTGGCGTACCAGGTTTATTTTGTATTTTGAATGATCTCCTCAATAACAAATTAAATTGAACGATTTTGAATATCTATATCATTGTTCATATACATTATGGCATAAAAAGTGGAACTGGGCGTAGGCCGGCAGGGAATATCACGAGGACTGAAAATGTAGATATTCTTCGCGTATATTCTCCAAAAAACTCCAAGCTCAAATGAAACACAATAACTTTCCTTCGTAACATCTATCAAAAATTTCAATTATTTTAAATCGTTACAAATTTTTCGCATTCCGCTACCAACTCTAAGCCACTAAAACCTCTCTCATCAAATCAAAATAGTTTTCCCGAAAGCGACCTTTCTCACCCCGAACACCGTTTAATGAATAAAGTTAATGATCAGATAGTACCGCAGATCCACAACTTGACTCTAATTAAATACGGCGTCATTGTCGAACGGATTCAAGTGTTGCTCTAACTGAAAGTGGGGGACGAAGTTTGAATTAGATAGCTGTATAAACGACCGGTATAAAAAGTAGATTTTTATTTTTCTACGAAAGATAATCATGGTTTTTATACAACACGGAAATGATTCTTTGGGTTCCATCTAAGCGCCATCCTTCTAGGTCTTGAGCTGAAATGAAATGATATGCTGAAATTGAATGGCTATGTTTTTTGAGTTTCCGACTGACAGGAAATGCTTCGGACGACTTGATCATATCCCTGGTTTAGTCTCGGGCAAATAATCTTTCCACGTTCAACGGACTTAGGTTTTCTCATGTGAAACTTGTTCCTAATACACATCCTCCTCCCTGAGTCGCATTCTTCATGTCTGAAGGTCATGACCATCCCTTCCCCTTCTTTGGATGATGTTTATCGGCGATGTGTATGGCATCGTAAACGGTGGTATCCAGGGCGGATTTAGTCAGACCAGCGCATTGGATTGCGGCCACGAGATCTTTTGCCTGCATTTTGCCAGTTACAATTACTTTTTCAAGATTTTCACCGCTCTTTCTGGCAATGTGACCAGAGAACTCAAATATTTTCTTGGGGTATATGGTAGAGAGCCCGGTTTGGATATTAAGCTGTGTTAATATGGATGCGTTAAGCTGATATGCTGTCTTCGGGATTCGTAGCAGCTTTCTCCAGCACCATATCTCGAAGGCATTAATGCCGTGGTGATCAGGCGTACACGTACGAGACAACAATAAGTACACTCAGATGAACGCTAAATATAAGTGACAAAGAGACTATTACCGACCGATAATTGGAAACTGGATCCCGCAGTACAATAATCAGAGACCGGTAGGCTAATGCCCGTCAATAATAAACATACATATAAGATATATCTAAAGCCGGTACCATACCGCTTGTAGTACAACGTGCATTCCCCGAGGATGAAAGCCCACAATTGATTAGTTCGCAGTGATTTTGCCGAAACGTAATTCGATTTTGTGCCCGGAATGACTCCGGTGAAGCGGGGTGACTTTACGAAAAATCTTTCCCATTCGAACGATGCCGCGTGCTCGCGTAGAATACTAAACCATTCGTTAAAAGCACACCGCTTTATTTATTTCTGGCGCAAATCACGGCAGAAGCATTTGATGTGTCTGAACAATAATCAATGTACGTATTTATAATAGTGCAATCGTGACTGGAAAGGCACAGACTTCCAACTGGAATGGCAAAGGTGTCATATCATACAGCCTAATCTTTTATATATGTATAAATATATTTTTTTATATGAAAAATGATAATATGAAGTGAACTGAAATGAGATGAGATGATATGGAATGAAATATAAACTCAGTAATCTCAGGTAGTCATTTACTGAGACTTTTTCAGTGGACTTTTTGGAGAATCCCGAGAAGTTACATCCAGCGACTTTGTTTTATTTTCCCACATTTGTGCACTTTCACAGATACTAAACAGTTAATAAACCACCGCTATTAATGCTATTAGGCATTTAAACCTGAATAAATAGAAGAAGAAACTAAATAGACAAAATAAAACAAATCACACAATTTCACTCCTCGCGTTCCCGCCAAAAAATCCCATAAGCAATAGATTATTTTTTGTTAATGACATAATACAGATAACATTAATCTACAATTATGAGTATAAAACCAGTTTCATTTCATGCTAAATTTAACATGTGATGCATGTATGATACACAAAGAAAAAAGTAACAAAAAAAAAAAAGCATTTAAACTCAACTCACACGAGTTGAAAAAACCTCGGCTTCCGTTAATAAAAATTGCAAAAATACCAGCGGTTTCGGACGCGGAAACAAAATTCCGAGTTCATGCAAAAATTATACACGACCCGGGGTACCGGACCGTATCGTGCAGGCCCAGGCCTTGGAGGCTGCAAGGGTTCAGGGTAATGGCTACAACCGTCATGAAATTATTAGATCAAAACCGCAGTCAAGTTGAAGAATTCAATGGGAATTATAGATTGAAACATTGATTTGCTATGGGATGAATATTCAAAGATTTGATATGCAACTGGATATTTTTTTTTATTGTTTTTTTTTTACTGCTTAGATGGGTGGACGAGCTCGCAGCCTACCTGGTGTTAAGTGGTTACCGGAGCCCATAGACATCTACAATGTAAATGCCGCCACCCACCTTGAGATATAAGTTCTAAGGTCTCAGTATAGTTACAACGGCTGACCCACCCTTCAAACCAATACGCATTACTGCTTCACGGCAGAAATAGGCAGGGCGGTGGTACCTACCCGTACGGACTCACAAGAGGTCCTACCACCAGTAAAGGTAATACTTTCGCTTATGTCAATTAGTAAAAAATTATGTGATGTAAAATTTATCTACAGAAATATGTATTCAAAATATCCCAAACTCTGCTTGTCAATACTAATATTTTAACAAAATTTACTAATCTAAAATTCTCTACAATTTTTTTTATTGTTTTACGCTTGAAATCTAATAAATGGCAAAGCATTGGAAAAGTTAGTCTTAATTACTATCACTAGAAGGCAATGGATGCTTATGAAGAGAATGATGTATACGACGCTGACGTCATCGTTTTAAAGACACCCTGGAACCAGCCAATTTCTGTCATATCTATCTATACATCTATACATATAAATAAAATTGGAGTGTCTGTTTGTAACATTAAAACAACCGCTTTTTACCGCATGCATCATCATCATTATCCTGCCCTTCTCCCAGTCACCTGGGGTCGGTGCAACATGTTTTCTCCTTCCATACTCTTCTATCATATACCATTTCTTCGCTCACTCCCCTCCTACCCATATCGTCTTTCACACAATCCATCCATTTCTTCTTAGGTCTACCTCTTCCTCTAAATCCTTCCACATTCATAGTTAACACTCTCTTAACAACCTCATTTTCATTCCGTCTCATCACATGTCCATACCATCCCAAACGTGCACTCCTCAGCTTCTCTGTCACAGGTGCCACTTTCAGACTTCCTCTAACATATTCATTCCGTATTCTATCCATTCTCGTTACTCCACACATCCATCGCAACATTCGCATCTCTGCTGCATGCAATCGCCTTTCATCCGCCACTTTCGTTGTCCAACACGCTGATCCATACAAGACGGCAGGCCTTATTAAGGTCTTATATATCTTCCCTTTTAGGGGAAGAGGGATGTGCGAGTCACATATGGTGCCCGTGACCTGCCGCCATTTCATCCATCCTGCGTCAATTCTGTGCCTGACAGTACGACCCAGTTTTTACCGCATGCATATGAATATATATACCGTACATACACCAAAATAAGATTTTTTACAATTTTTGTCTGTCTGTCTGTTTGTTCCGGCTAATCTCTGAAACGGCTGGACCGATTTTGACGAGACTTTAACTGATAGGTA